ACTATCTGTTGCTCTAGTGTGAGATGTCATCAAACACAGCATTGTATTTTCCGGATCTATGTAGGAAGAATTTCAGATCTGACAATATCTCTTTCTCAACTGTTGCCTAACCCACAAGCATTACAGGAAAGAGGCCCAATCATTTCAGAAACTTTCTCTGTGTTACATGTTTTACAGACAAAAGCAAACATGATCCCACAGGTCTACACAACCTATGTGGTGATGAAAGAGTGAGGTTGTCTACCAACGTTTGATTAGGCAAGGAGAAGAACCAAACACGATTGGTTTTTCCTCACAATAGAAATAATCCTGTTAGTCACAATTCTGTAAAATACAGAAGGTACAATGACAAAAATTATCTCACCACCCAAAGATAACCACTTAGCACTTTGGTGTATACCATACTAGCCGTTTTAGTTTTTTTCACACTCACATACATACATGCATTTAAAAAATCATTTTAAGTATATTGTTTAGTAACTGATTTTCATGTAATATGTTGTAGACGTTTCTTCATGTTAAAAATTTTAGTATCATTTTTAATTTGGCATGGTATTCTATTGTATGGAGGTATCACATTGTTGTACATTTAGGTTGTTTCCAAATTTTCTGTATTACAAACAGAATACTTCCTTGATTACTTCCTTAGAATAATCCCAAGAGTGGAATTTCAGGATCAAAGAGGATAAATATCTAAAAGTTTGATTCTTATTGTCAAGCTACTGTTTATATTCCTGACAGGTGTGCCTATGAGTGGCAGCTTTCCAAATCTTTGCCAGCACGAGGGCGGATCATTTATTTCTTTAATCTTTGCCAGTCTCCTTGGAGAAAATATCCCTGCTTTCACTGTTGTTTTAATTTGCATTTCTCCTCCCCTCCTCACTTTTTGTTTTTTGTTTCTATTGGTTGAATTGTTTGTTACTATTCTTTGCCCATTTTTTTCTATTGAAGTATCTATTTTAAAAAAGAAAAGATAATACAGTAGATATAATATATAATAATATATTATTAATTATATAAATATATGATATTCCTATCATTAAAAGAAAACTTCAAATATTTATCTAGGGTCTGCTCTGTGCCAGTCACTGTTTAAGGCTCTTGGCGTATATTAGTACACAAAAGTCTCTGCTCCATGAAATTTATGTTTTATCAGGGAAAGACATTTATATCTAATAACCATAATGAATAGTATAGTCAGGGATACTTCTTTCTGAGAAGACTTGTTGGAGCTGGCCCTGCAGGACTCTGGGGGCAAAAACATTGTAACAGAGGAAACTGCTGGATCTAAGGTGGACCACTGCCTGACATGTTCAAAAACTTGCATGGAGGCCGCGGATCTTGGATAGAAAAATTCCTAAATTAACCCATAAATTACATTTGATTCCTAGTAAAACATCAAAAGAATGTTTTGCAGAACTTGACAGAATTCAAAGCTCATGTAGAAAAAGTAACATGAGAGAATAGTCAGGAAATTTTTGAAAAAAAGCATTGAACACTTTCAAATATTAAAATGTATTATAAAGCTATAATAATTAAAATAGCTTTGTACTATCAATGGAATAGATAGTTCAGCAATATACCCAAATATATATGGAAATTTAATATGTGCTAAAGAAGGTATTTCAAAGCTCTGGGGAAAAAGAAGTTTATTTTATAAATTTTGTTGGGCTCACTAGAGAGCTGTTTGAAAACAAAATAAAGCTGGTTAATTCACCATCTTTCAAAACCAAAACAAATTTCAGAATGATCTGAGAGTTAAATGGAGAGAAAAAAAAGAATCCATTCAAGTCCTCTAAGAAGTATATGTGATTTAAAAAAATAATAACTTGGCGTGGTGAAAGACCTATTAAAACATAACATAAAACCCAGAATCTATAAAGAAAAATAATCATAAATTAGACTCTAATTTAAATAAAACTCTTAAAAATGCCCCTTCTGAAAAAAACAAACTTAAAATCAAATGTGAAGTGTTCCGATTGTGTTTCTACTCAGGTATAGGCCACCAAGCGTTTGTCTCCTTCACCCCGCAAAAAGAGGGCCACATTTATCTCTTGTTCCTCAATCTTCATCTTAACTTCCTTAAAGGTATACTAGATAAAGCAGAACACTACCAATATTTTTGAAACCCTTTGGGTATCTCAACTCCCTAGGCTTCGTCCCTTCTATCCCACTTAGAACTGACTAGTCTCAGATTTTGTGTTTCTCATTCCTTTTCCTTTAGTTTCACCATCTATTTATGTATGCCTAAATAATATACTCTTTAGGTTATCCTACTTTTCATTTTTATATAAATCGCACCATACTGTATATATACTTTTGTGGTTTATTTATTTTTTTGTCCAAGTTTATACATGCAGCTGTAGTTCATTCATTCTCATAGCTGTATGGTGCTTCATTGTATGAATTTATAATTGTTTACATGTTTTAGTATTGATAGACATTGGGATGTTTCCACTTTTTTGTTATAATGAACATTGTAACAGAACATTCTTATTTGGTCTTCCAGTGCACATGGGTAAGAGTTTCTCTGGGGAGTATTCCTGGGTTCCTAATTGCTGGGTAGTAGGTTACACACATGCTCTGCCTTTCTAGGTAGGTAAGGCCATAATTTTCCAAATTGGTTGTATCAATTTATACTGCCAAGTTCTTGCCAACATCTGGTTTTGTCAGACTTTCACATTTTTACCAATCTGGTGGGTATAAAAATGTATTTCATTATAATTTTAATTTGCATCTTCCTAATTTCTAATGTATGGAGAGCTTTTTTCATGTTTATTGGCCAGCCCGTCTTTCAGTTCTAGGAAATGCTGCCATCTCATTCCTGCTCTCAGGCTGGCTGTAAAATTAGACAAGAGAAGCACATATCTACATTTTGTGATATACTATTTCAACATTTTCCAAATATCTTCCTTATCTGTCAGCCAATGCCATTTGTGATGAGTACTTGTGGCCTAGTTTTCCCTTTTCCATTAGATTATCCTAACAGTTTAGCTAGTCATAGAGAAGGCACAGGGTAACTGTGCGTGAGCAAGGATACAAAGCAGGATGGGTGAGTTGTGGCATTTGGGAGATGGGAACAGAATGCCTCTGGGTAGTCTGAGAATAGCAAGAAACTGACTAGGAAGATAACAATAATGACAATGCCCAATTTCCAGGACTTAAGACACAAGAACTATGATTGTCATTTATGAGTATTATTTCTAATCCTTACAGTAATTCTTTAAGATGTACATTATTATCATCTCTACTTTACAGGTAAGGAAACTGAGGTTAAAGGCCACAGAACATCTTGGGGTGCCCAAAGGAGAGAAGGTCAGCATGCAATAATTCAGGAAGTCCTTTATTCATTGATTCATTTTTCCCTGAGTACTAGTTTGAGAGCAGAGAATTTTATTTGGCATTGGAGATATTTGCCATTGACGTGGCCTCTGCCAGTCTATTATGTTGCATACTGGGGAGGGATTGCCTGCAACTATAGAGGGAAGTTAATATAGTAAAAAACTGCTTGAATGGCAGTCAGAGAGACCTAAATCCCTCCCAGCTTATGTCCCCTCACCTGAATGGCCTTGGGGCCCTTACTGTACAGTATAGAGAGGATAAGGGCAACGCTCCCTCATGGAACTGTGTCAGCTCTGCCTTCTGAGTTGGGTGACTCAGAGTGGGCCTCAGTTTTACCATTTGTAAAATGAGAATAATGGTAGCACCTATCCTGGTGTATTAGTCCCCCATGGCTGCTGTAACATTTCCACGAACTTGGTGGCTTAAAACAATGAAATTTATTCTCTCACAGCTCCTGGGGTCAGAAGTCCAAAATCAGTTTCACTGAGCTCAAGGCAGTGTATCCAGAGACACGACAGGACTGCTCTAGAAGGCTAGGAGAGAATCCTTCCTTGCCTCTGCAGTTTCTGGTGGTTGATGGCATTCCTTGGTTTGTGGCTGCATCACTCCAATCTCTGCTCCAGTGGTTACACTGCCTTCCCTCTTCTGTTTTTCTAAAATCTCCCTCTAACTTCCTCTTATAAAGATACATGTGATTGCATTTAGGCCTCCCCCCTTTTTTTTGAATTGGTAGTTTTATTTTTTTAAATTTTATTTATTTTTTATTTTTTTGAATTTTATTTATTTATTTTATACAGCAGGTTCTTATTAGTTATCCATTTTATACATATTAGTGGCCCATTTTGATAATCCAGAAGAGTCGCTCCATCTGGAAATCTTTAACTTAATCTGAAAAGACTGTTTCCATTTAAGGTAACATTTACAGGTTCTGGGGATTACGGCTTGATATATTTGTGGGTTGTTATTCTGCCTATTACACTGAGGGTTGTTAGAAGGAGATCTGCTAAGGCTGGCAGAGGATTGAGCCCAGCATCTGCCCGTACAGAACGAGTAAATGTCAGTCTGTTTCCTCTTTTAAAAAGACGTTTCTAAGGAAGCCTCCCTAATAGTGCTGATGTAAGGTTCAAAAAAGCACAGTTGTAACACGTAGCAGGGTGCAGGAGATCGAGGAATGAGATAAAAGCAGATCTACTAACAGTTTCTCTCGCTCCCACTACTTGGTTTTGCACATCCTTCTCTCCAGGCCGCCTCAGACCCCGCCTACTCACAGGCTCACCCCCTCCCAGGTGGATTGATTCTCCACCACGAGGTCCCGTCCCCATACGCACTCTCCCTTCGCCCCGCCCCGCAGCTTGGCGTCCTCCGTCCGTAGTGTGTTGGAGGCGTGAGGGCTTTCGCGGGCTGTTCATTTTATTGCCCATCAAATCCTAGCCCATTTTATCCGATCCCGTCTCCCTTTTCAGCCTATAATTTATTCACCCAACGAAACTAGGTTTACTGAGGTTAGTGGTGGCAATTTACCTGCTTTCAGATGAGAAAAGAGAGGCGGAGCTTTTGGAAGAAGACTGGCGCTATTCAAGACAGCCCGACGAAAGGGGCCGGGTCCTACACACCTCGGTCGCCAAGCCCCGGCCAGCTCGCCGCGCCGAGGCCAGCTCGCCGCGCAGGCGCAGTGGGCCGGGCTCGCCATGCCGACTGTCAGCCTGAAGCGCGATTTGCTCTTCCGAGCTCTGGGCCGGACCTACAGTGAGTACACGTCCCACAGCCTGGGCTCTGCGCCTCTCCTCAGAGGCTGGGACCGCCTGCAAAAAGGCATCGTGGCAACGTTCGTACTGCCCCGCAGGTTTTGGCCTTGGGCGTTCGAGTTCTGGATAGAGAGGGCATAGAGTCCCTGGCGGCCCTGCTGGGCCGATGTAGCCTCTGGACACCCGTGTCTCCGCGGGTGCCGTTGCATCACCGGCACGTGCTGGGCTCACTGTGTCATTTCATTCAGCGATATCGAGCGCCTGCTGCGTGTCTGATGCCAGGGGATAGAATAGGAATGAAGCTCCGGGTTGCCTCCCGAGTGTAGTTCATTAAGTGCAATAAGAAGAGCGCTGTGGGAACTCCATTTGTGAGCAACAGGGTGTGTGTGTGTGTGGGGGGGGGCGGCCTTCTTTCCTAGTTTTACTTTTATTTACGTTTACTGAGCGCCTGTTATGTGCCAGGCACTGTTCTAAGTACTTTGGGAACACAGCGGTGCACAGGGTACATAAGGTCCACGTTCACATTCTGATGAAGCAGGCAGATAATAAAACCAGCAAATTACTAAGATGATTTCGGATAATGTTAAGTGCTAGCAGGGAAACAAAAAAGATATTGTGCTAAGAACAGCATTAGATAGGGTGGTAACGTGGGCTGAGCCCAGAGTGACAAGGAGTCTTTACTTGGTGGGCTTAGTCTTCAGGCTACGCTTCATCTCTTCAGTTTTAAAAACACTACCATTAAAAGAAAAAGGGAGAAATATTAAGTACGATTATCAGTTACCCTATACATGTAGCAGTTGAAGTGACATTTGCCATGTCTCATATCATCAGCTTGTGTGGCAGCAGTGATAATTGGTTTGTGAGAGCTGTTTTTGGTTTTAGGGCTCAATATAACAAAGGCCTAGTCGGTTTAACAGATACTGCTTCCTACAGTAAGATATTACTGTGAAAATAAAATTAGCTTTTTGAAACGTTTCTTAAGGTGCATTTTTAGATACTATGTGCAGTTGACCCTTGAACAATCCAGGTTTGAACTGGGTGGGTCCATTTATAGAAGGAATTATTTTCAACAGTAAATACTAAGCTACTGCATATTGAATCCTCCCGTGTGGAACCCAGGAGGGCCAACTGTAAGTTACAGAGATTATGGACTTGGTGGAGGGCTGGGAACCCCTGATCCCTGCGTTGTTCAAGGGTCAGTTGTATTCTTAAAGTGTTATTCTCCCTAGGGTTCTGCCCTAAGTCCCTGAAAATAGAGGTAATACTCTTGTCCTCTAAACAGGGCTCTGATTCCCTATACTTTTTATTTCATACTATGCTTTTTTATATTTCTTATCCATCCTTCTAAACCATCTTCTCACTAATTGTGTATGATATACCTGAATTACACAAGATGGTGTGTAGCAAAAATTTGTTCAGTACATCTGTGATCAGTTCCCACCTGTGTATCCATATCTGGGAAAGTAAGAAATAAGTCAGGTTTTAAAAAATGATGATTTATAACCTGTTTACTGTCATCTGATGTTTTAATATATTCTCTAGATGCCTCTTCCCCTTCTTTTCCATATTGAGAGAGATCAGGTAAGCTTGATTATCCATAATTACCTGTGGACTACTGACTCATTAAAATTTCAGGAAGATTGATGTTGAGGTGTACATCAGATGGGTCAGAAATAATGCTTATCATTAGTTTATATTTCGCATGTTCTTTCTTGAAATCTTTTAAATGTAAATTAGGTTGAGGTCAAAGTTGGAAAAACATGTTTGGCAAAGCATCTCATTTGCAAGCGGTGTGGATCCGCCTTGTTTCTTACCCCCTCCCCCCTTTTCTGTCTTCCTCTTTTTTCCTTGTTTTCAGGTAATGTCTCATTCACTCTTTTCTATCCCCATTCCCTCTTTTGCTTTCAGTCTCTCTAGGGCTTTCTTTTTGTCTGTCCTAAATTCCATTGTGTCATCAGTCATTGCCTTTCACCACTTATTTGCTTATCAAAGATAAGCAAAGGATATTTTTCAGGCTGCTTTGGTTCTGTTCATTTTGCTCCTCTGGGGCAGTTTTGTCTCCTTAGTCTACCTTTTTTATCGGCTTTCTGCTTAGATGTTTCCTCTTGCCACTCGTTTTTTTGTTAACTGGTTTGTTTTCACTGTTCTTCAATTCTGGCCCTGTTCTGCCTTGGTGTAATTGCTGGCAATGCGGCCAGAGCCACCTGTGTATATCATGAACCTTGAAGATGTAGTCACTTAGGTGTGTCATTTTGTTAGAGGGAATCATTGATCACGATTTCATTGTTGATTAAGTGCATGAAATACAGCTGAAAGGAATAAAACAAATTGTATGATAATTAGGACTCAGTAGAGGATTCAGTGTATTTTAATGATTCTGCTCGGTTTGTTACGTAACCATTTAGTTATCTATCACTGCATAATTAATTACCCCCAAATTTAGCAGCTTAAAACAACAGCCATTTGTTACATGTTTCTGAGGCTCAAGGATTGGGAAGTGGCTTAGCTGGGTGGTTCTGCCTCTCACCTGATCGTAGTAAAAGTGTCAGGACTCTAGTCATCTCAAGACCTAACTGGGACTGGAGAGTCCAATTCCAGGTTCACTCAAGTGCTTGTTGGCAGACTTGAGTTCCTTGCTGATTTTTGGTCAGAGATTTCAGTGCCTCCCACCTGGACCTCTCCATAGGACTGCTTGCAACATGGCGGCTTGTTTGTCCCAGAGTGAGAGGTCCAAGAGAGCAGGTAGTTGAGAGTGCTCAAGATAGAAGCCACAGTTTTTACTAAACCTCGTAAGGGATACACCATCCCTTGCCATATTCTCTAGGTCACACAGACCAACTCTGGCACCGTGTGGGCGGAGACTACAAAGGTGTGAACACCAGGAGGCAGGTGTTCTTGGAGGCCATCTTGGGGACTGACTACTGCAGTCTGCCCCCTGGCCCCCAGTGATTCATGTTCCTCCCACATGCCACATACATGCCCTCCCAAGGCCCCCGGAAGTGTCATCCCATTACAGAAGCAGCTCAGAAACCAGAGTCTCATCAGCTAAATCGGGTCCAGTTGTGGATGGGGCTCTTCGGGTGTACTTCCTTAAGTAGAGCTGATTGAGTAGAATTACTCTTGGCCTGAGAGACTAAAGAGACAGGTTATCTGCCCCACGTGCACCTAACATACAGTGGTGGCACAGGCATAGGACATTCTCCTTCGAATGGGGAAGATGGGAGACACGAAGGAGTTATTAGTCTATGGCAGTGCTGAAGCTGAGCTGGCAGGTGTTGCATGTTCTTGGTTAGATCTCCAGGCCTGGGATCACTGGCCATGGTTCTGCCCTAATTTCTAGGCTCTTGGTTCCACTCTCTGGGTGAGCCTCATTATTTTATTTTTTGGTGAAAGAAAGCACGTGCTTTACAGCTCATTAGTTTTCTTGGTCTACTTCCCACCGATAGAATTTTGGGGGCTCAAAGCCTTCATTTTGTTCCGTCTCTGTCCCTTTCAGCTCCAGCTTGCCATGTTTCTGCATATGTTTTTTTTGTTGTTGTTGTTAAACTTTCTGGGTCTTTGGTCAGTTTTGCTGGTTTCCACTTCGTTAGTCAAAAGACACACCGCCCACAGATCTCTGAAATAAGCTGTTTTGTACCTTGGGCTTCGCTGATACAGGGCTCTTATTGAAGCTCAGCTGTGTGACTGAATAAATTTGTGAGGCACACCCTTATTTTCTTTATATGTAGCGCCTTTTGTCTGAATGAACAGTGCCTTTGATTTTACTGCGTCTTAAGATTTTACAATCATGTCCTTGATTCATCTTTCGACCACGTTTCCCTGGAAATGCTCTGGGTTTGCTCTTTGATCAGAAGTCATTTTTTTAACACCTTTATTGGAGTATAATTGCTTTACAATTATTGGTGTGTTGGTTTCTGCTGTATAACAAAGTGAATCAGCTATACGTATACATGTATCCCCGTATCTCCTCCCTCTTGCGTCTCCCTCCACCCTCCCTATCCCACACCTCTAGGTGGTCACAAAACACCGAGCTGATCTCCCTGTGCTATGCGGCTGCTTCCCACTAGCTATCTGTTTTACATTTGGTAGTGTATATATGTCCATGCCATTCTCTCACTTTGTCCCAGCTTACCCTTCCCCCCCCACCATATCCTCAAGTCTATTACCTACATCTGCCTCTTTATTCCTGTCCTCCCCCTAGGTTCTTTGGAACCATTTCTTAGCATTTTTTTTTTTTTTTTTACATCTGGGGAGGCTGAGGATTCTTAAAACCATTAGGTCCTGGCTCCGTTTTGTTTAATAGTCTTTCCTTTAGTTTATCTCTTCTCTCGCAGTCTAAACCAGGCGACACTTTCAGCACTGGTTGGAAAGGTTAGTTAAGTCACCTGGTTGAGTAGGTACCTTTTCCCCAGTCCCCATAACTGTAGGCAACAGTGTTGCTAAACTTTGCCTCTACATAAAAAGGATACCCCTTCTGTCAGTTTCCAGTAACACTTCCTCACTTTCCTTCATATCCTCACCTGCATCCTTATCAGAGACTGAGGCTTCTGTTAACAGCTTTGTCAAGGCGCTTTAGGTTTTCATTTACACTCTCAAAGCCCACCTCCTCCTGATTCCAAAGCCTTCCCCATGTTTTCCCGTGTTTTGTTATGGCAGCTCTCTACGTCCAGGGACTGAAGTCTGTGTTAGTTATCTGTTGCTACATACCAAATTACTCCAGTACTTAGGAGGGTAAAACAACAAGCCTTTATCATTTCACACAGTTTCTGAGAGAGGAATTGAGGGAGGAGTGGCATAGCTGGGTGATCTGGCTCTGGGTCTTCCTCCAGGTTGCAGTCAAGCTGTCGTGTCAGCTGGGCCTGCAGTCATCTCAAGGCTTGGTTGGGCTGGAGTTTGCTTCCCAGCTCACTCTTGTGGTTGTTTGAGACGTGAACGGTGTGAGTAGCAGGAGGCAGGGGTCATGGGGGCCTCTGTTATTTCCTGCCCTAATGATACCCATTCACCTGCACCGGGGACCTGGGAGCCATTGCACACGTCTCCTGCTCACTCACTGTCCCCACCTCCCAGTCAGTCCTTGAGCCTTACAGATTCTGCCCCTGACGTTTCGCACATTCTTCCTTCTCCCTCAGACTCACTGCTGGCTGCTTTAACCAAGTCCTCACTGTCTCGCTTGTCTGTGGCAGTAGATTCTCTGCTCCAGTTTGTCCACCACCATTCTTTAAAATGCAGGTCTAATCATGCTATCATCCAGCTGAAAATCCTTTAGTGTAACTCCCCGTTGCCTCAGGCAGGACAGAGGGCAAATCCCTTGGCATCTTGAGCTGACTTCTTTCTCCTTTTTTCATCATATCTTCCTGACATGAACCTCACGCTTCATTCATATGGAACGTCCCAAATTTGCCATGCGGTTGTCTCATTCCCCACAGTCCCTGCCTAATAAATTCATCCTTTCTGTGAAGCCTTCACTGACTGTCAGTGGAGTTGATTGCTTCATTTGTGCCAACTGGGTACCTTGCACTTACCATAACTGTATTTACACATCTGGTTTACTAGAGTAGGGCGTAGTTAGGGCAAGAATTGTGTTTTATTTATCTCTGTAGCCCTGGCACCTAGTACAGTGCCGACACATAGTAGGTGCTCAATAAATGTTTGTTAAATTGAAGTTCAATGTCAGGAACAGGAATCTTAAGATCAGCTTCTTACTAGAATATACTAGTAATGATGGTTTGTGTTCAGTTTTTGGTAACAAGGAAACCCTGACAATGCTGTATCAGGTGGCAAAGCAAAGTAGGATATAACTTAAAAGTAAGAAAGAGAACTATTAATTGTTGCAGACCTACTATGTTTCAGGGCACTATGCCAGACCCATTATCTGCATGAACTCATTTAAGTCTTTCCAACAGTTGCATGCTACAAATAAGTGGCTGTAAAATGCTACTTTATGGATGAGGCATAGGAATCAGAAAGTTTACATGAAGTGCCAAGCTCTCAACTGGTAAGTGGAACAGTCAGAATTCGAACTTGGATGGATCTGGCTCCAAAGCCAACTGTCAGGCCACCTCAGAGAATTTTAAATGATAGGATTTATATGACATTATTCCTTTATGTTGGATCTGTGATTTGGAGCCTACTTTACATTGGATCCCTGCTTAGCAAGTTTTTTTCTTCCAAGTAAGTGTAAACTCCCTAGTGCAGGTAACCTAATTCTGTAGCTGATATTAGATGAATCAGCCCTTTTTAAAATAGTTTTGGTTTTCTTAAAAAATGTTCTTTGGTCAAGCTCTTTTTGTTTTTAAATGGAGATATCTGATGCCTGATGTTTAGTGTGCTTGGTATAAGATGATTTAAAAAATGCAGTTTCTATGCTATTTTCATTTGTACTGAACAGATTAAAATTAGCAATCTCTTTTTTTTTTTCCTAGCTGACGAAGAATTTGATGAACTATGTTTTGAATTTGGTCTGGAACTTGATGAAATTGTATGTATTGGATATTTATTTCTCTAACATTCTGTGTATAAGTTCATTATATTTTATCTTTGTTACCTTACGGTTAGACCAAATGGAACATATGTGGGCCGTGGTGCTTTCTGTGTTAAGGGGCTAAGCTCTGGTTCTAAGAGTGTTACTTTGTGTAAAATCTCAAAAGGGGTTCATGCCTTATTCTGATACAGTACCCTCAAGTCATCAGGCTAGTGCTGTGGAGGTGGATAGACCCTCTCAGGTAACCCCAGAATAGAAGCAGTCTCCCGGGCAGTGAGGTGCCATTTGCAGATAACCGGATGGAAGGGGTCCACGAGCAGTGGAAACTTTGCTTCAGCCGGAGTTGCTGTCTCCTTGGCCTCTGGCTCCCCCTCCTTCACTTCCTCTGTGTCCCACCCCACCTTCCTCCATGCCTATCTAACCAGCGTTAATTCATTCTTCATTTATTACTCTATACATTGATCTTGTAAAATGATCTACTTTTTGAAGAATTGCTTGTAAAAATGATTTTGAAACATTTTCCTGGTCTTTTGATTATATAATGATTAAAATGTTGAAAAAATAGCTTTATTTACCAAATATATTAATAATGATAATGTACTAGAGACACTGTACTTGTAACTAAAAAGATAATTTAATATGTCTCTGGTAATTAGTATTATTTTTTACCCCAAGCCTTCTTGATCTGTTCCGTGTTTTATAACACAATAAGGTTTAAAAAAACCTCAGACTGACAAAAACCTATATTGTTCTGCCTTGTTTTTCCTGTTGCTTCTTAACTAATGTTGCAGAAAGTTTTTTTATATTAATGAGCATCCATATGCTTAAGAAGTCAGCTGAGAACTCTGTAGTTTATATTAAATTGTTATTAATTTTATTAGAACTCAAAATTATGCTTGAGGCTTTGTGATATCTAAGAGCATTGTACTGGATATCAGAAAAATGGAGTAATAGTTCGAACTCCCACACTTACTAGCTGTGGAACCATGGACAATTACATTGCCTCTCTGGGCCTCCTTTTCATCTGTGAAATAAGAGGTTTGCATTGTATGATCCCTATAGATGCCTCTGGCTCTGAAATTTCTGTGGTCATTGATTGCCATAACATTTTTGTTAGCATTGACAAACCCAGTCTTCACATATGATCTTTTTTTTTTTTTTTTTTTTTTTTTTTTTTTT